TCAAAAGCAAATTGTGTTCCTCTTCCTTTCACATCTGAATTCTGTTCTCCTCCATTAGACGAGAAATTAACAATTTCCAAGTCTGGCCAATTGAATTCTATCCATTGTGGTTGCAATTGTAGTGTTAATCGTTTTGATTTGAACACACTTCCACCTCGTTTACCCGTTATTTCTAATGTAAGATTATCATTCCATGCTGATGCTACTATCATCGATTTCAAAGTAAAACTTCTGGCTGCATTTATAATCATAGACAACATTTGACCATCTTTATTCAGTCCGACATATTGACCACTCGATAGAGCAGCAGAATAGCCCGACCAACCATTGACCTGTTCATTATAAGAAACATTCATATAGTTGGCATTCACCCATTGGAAACCAGAGTATCCATTGGGTAAGGATTGTTGGAAACGACCAGCACCGGGGATGTTATCAAATGTGATTAATCTAGGACACTCTTCAACAAAAGACATTAAGATAATGAAAAATTAAAATAATCTTACTAGTTAATGGAACAGTAGTAGAAGTAGAAGTAGTAGTTGTAGTTCTGGTTGTGGGCGGCAACAATGTTGTTGACACATCAACTAGGAAAAATATCAAGAAATCTCAAAAGATTCGAAGCGAATCAAAAATGTGATTAGTTTAGGCGTATGGCAAAAATCAGGACATTTGTAAACTGTCTGCATTCGATTCAATTCTTATCGAGTAAAGTCAAACAAAAAAATTTCTCATCTGAGTCGAATCAAATAAGACTTTAATCTGTAGAATTTGTTCAATTTTTCCATTTCTGGATATAACGAGAGTGAAAAAATCTTACTACATATCGAAATTAGGACCAAAAGTGATGATGTAGAATTCTGATCCTAATCCGAGAATGAATCATATGAAAAGTTGTCCACTAGATTTTCAATTCTCTGAACTCGAAAAAAATACGATTAAAATAATCGTTTATCTTAAAGAACTCCAATGTAAGTTCACATACACATAGAGAAAACGCAAAGGAGAAACAGCTGATTACAGATAACGGAATCACTTCGATTCATTTTTTTATTTCATCTTTCTTTTTCTACACTTTGGTAGTCGAAATTAAATATAGCACTTTATAACTGCACTTTAAAAGCTAAAATAGGTATGTTGAAAGCATCATTCGCAATAAATGTGATGGGCTAAGACTTGCAGTCAAACAGATTTCAACAAGATTTTTTCTACTACAATCAGGGTTCAGCATGATCTCCTCTTATATCGAAAAAGATATAAGGATGCTGAACCTTTATTATAGACGAAAAGCTCTGACGAACTCTGATTGAATTTCTCTAAGGCAATCGGATTGCAACATGATTTTCTCTTATTTTGCATAGATATAGGGTGGCTGAACCCTGCTTGCAAAGAGAAAAATCCTGACTAAAACATGATTGTTTTAGGGTCTTAGCTGATCAGATTTACTACGGACGACACTTTCAACTTATCCACATTAACTTTGATTTTTTAAAAATTAAAATGGAAGTGCAATATCTATTCAGTGGAGTCAATGGAATCAACTGTTTTTCCCTTAAGAAAAGATATCTTTCACGAGATACTCCCACTCGAGCTGTTACGTTTTCTATTGCATTTTTGTTGTTCTTGTGACCATACGAGTGACTGCGGACAAGGTTTCAAATATGCTTGACCGTGTACACAATGCCAAAATGAGTGAGGATCATTGATATTTGAATACATTGAATTATGTCGATTTGGACAATTGAAACCACTCGAATAATCATACAAATAATAGCCAACAATAAAGAATACAAAGAGTAATTTCATTCTTCTATCTTCACCCTACTACTCCTAGCTAGAACGAATTGATAGTTTAGTTATAAAAATATTCGCACAGATGTTTTATTTCACACTGATATCATTTGTTCTTACTCACTCTTTCTCACACACATAGTGTACGACATATCGTTCTTCTTTCTCAGATAGAGACCTACAATGGCTTGCACGTTGACAGTATATAGTGCAATCCTCGCGGAAGACTTTGAGAATAGAATAAATGCTTACCAAGGCTCGTTCTCTTTGACAAAGTCATTTTAATATAACCTCTTCAGAAAACACACAAGTAACATTCGTTCTTAAAACTTTACTACAATGTGTTAAGAAGTTTATCAGCATCATCCTCATAGAGTTAAAATACGAAACTTAATATCTTTTTCAAAGCACACTGTTTTTCTCAGTGATAGAAACCGAATATTTCTTGAAACCAATATATACGCAAAATATCAACTCTAAATGATCTTCTGCCATGTAACAAAATATATCATAATGTCTTATATCAAAAGTCGGTTCATATGATGCGTATCGAAGTAGCTGATACAAGGGAGTAAAGAGTGTTTCAAAAGTTTCAAATTTTCTCACATAATTTGATGTTGTCTATGTCAAACTAACATATAATTAGTTGATTGAAATATATAAATTGAGATTGAGTTTAAAGATGCGAATGATTCAAAGCCATCATACGACACGTTTCAGCCATAGCCTTCTCAAAGAGAGTCGGTCAAGAATGGCTGTCGATGTCTTATGTATTGGATTAACAGGAAAAGAAACAAAAGAGCCAGGCAACGATAGCAATATAGATGTATGAAATATTCAGACCTAGAATTGTTGTGGGATAATATTACATAACATAGTAAATTGGACAAGGGTATGGGCGTGGGTGTGCCTCCTTTCTTAACAAACACCCACAGCCACACCCACGCCCACACCCTAGTCCATGAAACGTCATCAACATTGAGAAATTGAAATTTCACTTGCATGCATCGGATGTGGTTGTGACTATAGCTAAACAGATAATTCACACTCACTTTTTTAACTGCCTGTCTGAATAATAAAATCGCTCCAAGTAGTGTCATTTCGTGTGCTATTTTGTTTGACATGTCATGTTGCATTCGGAGTACGTACAATCCTTTACTGTTGATGTGGAAAACTAAAGTATACATTCTCTTTATTGAATACGATCAAATGTTGGAAAATTGATGTCAAACAATCAAACTCTCATTTTTGCATTATTAGCTATGTTAAAAGTCTTACATAAGTCAGAAAAAAAGAACAATTCTTCATTTGTTGTGGAATACAGTTATCTAAATTAACTTGATCAGTAGCAAAAAATAATAGAAAAATGATTCGATTGGTTTGATTTATATACGTTTTTAAAAGATTACCGCTGTTCTAACTATAGAAGTTAAGAATCAAATGCTCCATTAAACCTAATTTTACTCAAATCGATATTGAATACTATTTCACTTTTCTTTTTTTGCTTATTTGACATTCATATTCTCTTTACTCGATATTTTTTTATTTCCGTTAGATCAAAGTGACTTCATAAGCCCTTGATTATCCTTTAACAAAAGTAAAGTGTTCTCGGTATCTCATGAGTTATTCATAGACACCAAACAAAAGATTGATTAAAAAAACATTTGCTTCTTTTTGTCTTTTTCGCACAAAGACATTGTGTTTGCATACGATATCTGTGAGTAGCTACTTCCTTTTGCACAGAAGTAGACTGATAACTAATCGACGAATGACGCACTTTATTGACTGCTAGCAATGAGTTGGAAGTGCATGTGAGTATGTAGCTGTATGAGTTAGTAAACCCACATATCCATACACTCACACCTTGAAATATGATTAACCATATTACTTTCAATGAGAAGTATCAACAACGTTTTTGTAATACACATAATCAGAAAAAAATTGATTTTATTATTTTTTCTTTCGACTATTTTCAATTAGTTATAAACGCTGAATAACTATAGTGAGTCATTACTTCCGAGACAGTCGTATTTGAATCTTCTTTTGGTCATGCTTTAGTATACAATAAGTAAAAAAAGATGTTACAGCATATATTGTTCTTGATTAGATGAAATTAACATTTTCTATCAGAATACAAGGCTACCACCAAGTCAAATGATTAGAGGGTGACATTTCATTATGAGACGCAGTATTTGCCTAATTACTCGGTTTATCAATGCCTGAGAAGAAAAGCTAAATATAACAATTATTCTTCGTTATATTTCATTTCTCAACATGATTTTTTCTTCATAGTGTTGATCTTGACGATACGTGTTTTTCTTTCTCTTCTCTTGTATGACTAGTAGTATATGAGCATAGATACAACTAGTGTGATGAAGTATCTCAATAAACATTATTATCGAAGGCAATGATAGCGCTACTATTCCAGTTCATTACGCTAACTGAATAGTCATTCGTTCAATAACACTAACATTAAGTTGTAAGGACTGAAAAAGAAAAACTCGTGACCAGAATTTTCAGCAATAAATTTCTTTTTATATCATCGTAATTTTCGATCAAAAAGAATTACCTATTCTTTATTTATCGAAGGTAAATGTAGACGAATGATATGAATACATAATTCATCTTTCTTACGATTATATTTATTCGTATATTTAATATGAATCATTGAAAGTAAAGTTCTGATTCAGCATAATTATTCAACTAACTGTTATTGCAATATTACATATGACGTCATTCAATAATATAACACATTTATGTTGGCATTAGACTTAAGATATCAGTAATTATAATATGATGGATCATTAAATGTTAACAATAAAAAGAAAATTTTCTCAAAAATCTAAATAGACATTGAATTCTTTTCAGAAAAGAAGGTATAGACTTTTCGGTTCGAAGACAAAATTTTTCCTCAAATGAAAGCGAATAAATAATATCTAATTATTCATTAATGTTTCAAACATTTCCAAAAAAACTATTGGAATAATACTTCTTTAAAACTAGATTTTCTTTCAGTATAATTTTCTTTTATCAGACAACAAAATGACTTCATCTTATACGGAAGATCAGTAAGCTTTGCATGATTATCAAAAATCAAGAAAAGCTTAAAGTAACATCTGGTTTATATTTTAAATTGTAAACAATTTCTTAATTCAAAACATGATACTCTTGATTATTGCTTCAATACTTAATATAAATTAAACAGTAGGTCAACCTTCGGGTATCTGCAATTGCTCGTTAGATCGTAATTGTGTTCTTCGTTCAGCTTCTTGCTTGATCATTGCTTTTTGAATATGCGTTGGTAGACCCGGATTAAGACTCAAAGCGTAGGGCAATAATGTTTTTGGCAGTTCTTCAAAATCAATCATAATTTTGATAAACATTGTGTCGTCTCGTACATAGGGGTTTCCTTCCTGTTGAATCGTTTCCAATGGGAAAAATTTCGGTATTCCACTAGCTATATTCATATCAGATCGAGGTCGTTGGAAACTACTTGATTTAATGTCTGGTCGAAATGAATCTATAATATGTCTTTGTGCAGGCGTTTGATCGTACAAACAAAATGTGACTTTATAGTTGAATGGAAATTTGAGAATTGGATCATTCAAACTTCGCATAAGCACAAAAAAGAGTGACATATATGTACGACGAGCATTTCCATCACCATTTAAATAAAGACGAGCTCTCATTTTATAACCATTTGGAGATGAATAAAATGGTGGCGAATAAATTGATGTTTGTCTTTCAGATTGTGCATCAACTAGAAATTAAGCAAAAACGTTTATCAACGCAGTCTCTTTGAGACTAAAATATGGAACTCACATACATTTTTTCAGATTTGTTACACTAATGCAAAAAAATAGGTTAAATGAAAAGTTTCTAACAAACTATATTGGTTTTCCAAGGATAGTCGATCGCCAGGAAAATGATCTGTCTTATTCGTTTCTGCATTTCAACGAGGTTTTTTTTACTTGTGCTCTATTCTATTGTTATTCGTTAGTTACTTCTTTTTTTCTTTCGTTTTTTCTTAAATTACTATTATGATTATTCTAATTATATATTTAAATGATATACAAGTCTGTTGTACACATCTATTATATCTATAACATGTTTCAACATACTATTATTTCTGTTGATAACTTCAAACATCACTAGCCATCATCTATGATATTTCGAATATAATTGGTGATTTGGATAAAAACCAAAAATTTCCTTGATTGCTATGGAATCCTATACCCATTGACAATAACCTTGTTTGCTAATGTCTATTTCGTGCATCTTTATCAGCGCTACGATGACTATCAGCGGCGTTAAAATCCTCGATCTACATTCTCTCTGTCACCCTTTGAGTCGGCTTGTTATGAGAGAAATGAGGACGAAAAATCTTGTCTGATGCTTGACACTCACTATTTTCCTTTATCAAGTATGTGACTTCCACAAAAAAAAAGAAATACTTGAAGAACAAAAGCAAGTATAAAGAAATTTAGAGGATCGACAACATGGATAAATCAGTTTGTCAATTCATCCATAAATTACTCATATATTGTATTCGTGTATGATTATAATTATATTGTGCTGAACATAACGTTCAATTATATCTGTATTATTTATTGATTTTATAGAAGCCTAATAACATCTTATTCTTTGATTATATTTTTGATAACATATTCTATTTTTATCATTGAAGATAAGAGTAACTATTCATCTTACTCATTTTCTCTTGAAAGTTTGCTATTTTCCAAACTAATGATCCGTCATATGAAACATACTGCAAATCGATGATTTTTTCTTGCAATGATACTAAATCTTGATTGAGAATTTCTTGATTACATTTGATTCCCTCGAAAAAAGCATTTGATTCTTCGATGGATAATTTAACTTTCGATAATTCTTCTGTCAATGTTGGAAGTGTCATTTGCATTTGAAGTGACTCATTGGCTAGACGTTGTTCATCATTGGTCAATGTCTCGATACCACCTACCAAAATATTGAGCATTTCATAAAGCTCTTCTAATTGAGCTATAGCAGGATTACAAGCTACTGCAGTTGTTGTTCGAGGAAGATCAGTATCCATTTGTCTATTGTTCAATTGTGATAACATGTGACGAACAACTTTGAGTAGGGCATGTTGATGTTGTTCAGTCAAATAATGATCTTTCATTTCAGCACGAATAATCTAAAGAACATGACTTTTCTCGATATCAATTTCATCTAGAGAATATTCATACTTGTTCCTTACAACCAAAATCTTTCAATATACAGTCAACAATCAGTTGTTGACATTTGAAGACTTTATGTTCATTGAATTTGTTAACTGAATTGAACTGTTCGCCACAATATTCACATATGACATTTGAATGAGACTGATCGAGATGTTCCTTTGAAAGAAAAAGGAAAAAAACATTCAAGAATAAAACGAATATACCATAAATTACTTGATAGTTATTTAAGACATCAGTCCACTGGCAAAAAGAACAATCAATGACTAGAGATTTCATATCATTCTTGAAGCCTCGATCAAGCTGTATCTAGACAAAATAAATAATATTTTCTCTTTAATTAGACAAAGATATCTTACTACCAACGACAAAATGATTGCGAATCGTGTTTTTGATCTAAAATATAGAATTTGAGATCAGAAGAAGTTTTCTAGGATTTATATGAATAGTACAAGTGTAGACGTCTATAATACAAATAAAACTTTAATATGACGGTACAAAATGTTGATATACTTTCTGAATCTTTTTAATACTTGCTTGAATAACATTTGATGATAAGCTGTTGCAAGCTTCATCGATCACATTGTCTAGATTATAATATAATATTGAGCTATGTCAATGGACAGATAATAGTCCTGATTTTAACGCTATTGAACTGGTCTGGAAAATTATCAAATAGAAAATTAAAAACAAGAATTCAAAGTTACAATGTGAACTAGAGAATGTGGTCGATAAAGCTTGCAACAGCCTATCATTAAATGTTTGTCAAGCATATACTAGAGAGACTCAGAAACTATATCAACACTTTGTATCTTCATATTAAACTTTTATTTGCATTGTAAATGTCTACATTTGCACTAGTCATATAAATCCAAGAAAATTTCTTCTGACCTTAAACTCTATATTTTAGATCGAAAAAAAACGATTCACAGGTGTTTTGTCGTTGGTAGTTACATCGCTTCGTAATGTTTCTGATTGACATTGTCGACATTTTATTGTCGCTCTTGAGAAAGAACACTAAAGAATAATACTTCAAACTGATAATGACACATACGATTGTTCAGCATTGAAACATGTTTGACAATATCGATGACCACATCCAGTCAGTTGTACCGGATCTCGTAGTATCAATGAACACACAGGACAAATATATTTTGCATCGAGAATATGTTTATTTCTTGCACCGATGCCTACCATGGTTTTTAATTTACTTAATATGAAACGAATGGTGAATGTTAGTTAGATATGAAATTAGTTTTCTTCTATCTATATGATTTTGTTTGGTTGTTTTTTTTTCGTTGATCGAAATATAAATAGAAAAAAGTTTTCAGAAATGTTAAAGCGAACCAATAAATAGATTACCCTTTTTAGATAAATGAACAAATAAAAATAATTCTTTGAAATCAAGTGATGTAATAAATAATTTATCTAGAATTTACACATTAGCATTAAAATACAAATAAGGGTTTCAAATTTTCAAAATAGAAAATAGTAACGAGTACGATATGGGTCTATTCACTACTATTTGATCGGGCCTTGAGTCCATTTTTGATGCATTGAGTGAAATTTCAATTGTAGATGGATCATCACTAATGAGAATAATTTGGACGTCAATATGGCCATCAAAACCCTTCTCTAAACCTAGTAGAATCGTATAAATAAATCATTGAATTGTATAGATTCATTCAAACTTTAATGACGATTTATACTCTGACTTATTTTATCATAATATCAGTGAGATTGGGATGTCTTTAATATTTTTTTTTCAAACAATGATCGATTATTTTGTCTATTATGATAATGATTCATTTTACTGAATTGATTGAATATTTCAGAAGAAGCTTCAAGTGTATTTCATTGTCTGTAAATAAAAAGAAACTATATACGTACTTTTCCAACAGGTTATGTTAAAAAAAAATACTCATGAGTTACTTATTAAAACGAAATGTAAGATATATATAAATATAAAACATATGTGATTCATATGTATGATGCAATTTTGTCGACAATACCATGTGAACCTTAAGTGATGATATTTTATTAATAAAAACAATAGTTCGTGCTAGAGTCAATTTTAGTAAAGATTGATTGTAAATAATTGTCAAACAAATAATGTTTTCCCATCCATTTTGATATATGCGCAATAGAAAAAAATATTTTCGGAAGTATAAAGAAACGTCACATAACTTTCATGAATCATGAAGTTGTAATGTCTTTATCGCATCCTTCTCTTGGAAAAAAGTGCACCTTCTTTCCAACTTTATACGATCAGCAATCTTTTTTGTCCCTGTTTTTGTGGGGTGTGGCTGTAGGTATGTGGGAATGGGTGTCTGTGGGTGTGGATATGGGTGTGGAGTGTAGACATGAGTGTGAATGCGTGGGTGTGGGCAAGGGGGAAGCAGCGTGACCTAAATCAGCCGAAACTCAGTTTAAGTCAGTTTAAATCAGTTAAATCAGCTTAAAGGGTGTGCGTGTGGGGTGTGGGTGTGGGGTGTGGGTGTGAGTGTGAGTGTGGGTGGCTGGGTGTGGGTGTGGGGTGTGGAGTGTGGGTGCGGGTGTGGGGTGTGGGTGTGTGGGTGGGGGTGGGGGTGGGGGTGCGGGTGGGTGTGTGGGTGTGGGTGTGTGGATGTGCGGGTGTGGGTGTGGGTGGGGGTGGGTGTGGGTGGGTGGAGTGTGACTGTGAGTGGCTGTGAGTGTTGAATCCTATCTGCGTATGAGTAGTCTGTAGTTGCCTAGACTCACACCCACATCGTGCACAAAACATTCTAGGTTCATGTTGCTTATATAAATATGAGAATAAAAATTCCATACTCGTGAAGAGTTTTGTGTTACTACTGGTTTGACCAATTTCAATGAAGAATCTTCTTTATCAACTAATTGTTCCATTTCTTTTTTGGTTAACATGATGCTCTGTTTAGTTAATCAAAAATCTTAATCAATTGAGCATTTGGATGTGATGTGTGGGTATGAGTGTGGATGTACTTTATTCTCTTCATTGCCTACCA